ATTTATGGCTTAGTTTCTTTATATGTCTCCGGTTGACAAGTTTATATTTCCTTTCCCAAGGGTCAATTTGTTCCACCCCGATTCGAAGTAGGTATATTCAATGTAGCTCCCAGTGACTTGCGCCTCTCTATTCTATCTTTTCCCCTTTGTTCACTTTTAAATTAAATTTAGCCTTAATTCTAAGTAAGTGAGTAAGTAAGCAAGTAAGCACTTATCTTAGCTTTACGTTCTTTTTTGTCCTGTTGATTGGAGGTTCCTGCCCTGTCTTCTCACGATTTAATTAGTCTCGCGCGTTATGAATCTTGAGATTAAACTTAAAACTGTAAAAATTCGTAAAATCTCAGCCACTGGACCGATTTCGATGAAATAAGCACTAAACAATTGCAAATTTTGTACGCTACCGACATACATTTTTAAACCTATACAAACACAAAAAACCACTAAAAAAGGCCGGAGCTCGCTCAAAACACGTCCGTTCGCCATGTAAGACGAACTTCTACCCTACATATATTGAAGATTTTAACGTAACTTAAACGATTTTTTTAACGCTTTACCATTTTACTCGTCGTGGATTACATATGAATTATAGTGGTAAATGGTTACTCACTAAAAAATTTCAGAATGTATTCACTTACTAATCAAATATCATAAATGGCAACCGCTACTAACACACTGTAATGCGGCAGCTCGACTGAAAAATAATATTGGGGTGTTTGTCGCTAATGGCTCATCAAATTTTATACATCATCCCCTTCGAAGAAGCAGTGTCATAAATAAGAAAATCTTTAAGTAATAGTGAGAGTACTCAAACACAGGAGTTTGTCAGTTTTCGAAGGAGTAACAAAATAGTAGCCTTTTTTATTTCAAATCAAGCAGGCCAAAATCTCGTTACAACATAAGTAATTCCAAATATATCTTTTTTGTAATCCAAAAATTGTTATTTTATTTAAATAATAATTGTCTAAGGAATAAGTTTTTTAGATTGTTACGTTTGTATGTTTGTTTAATTATTTCGTCATATTGTGTTATTAAATTATTTATTAGTACATATCCAAATTTTACCTTGTCTTTGTCGCCTACAATCCTCTGTAATTTATTATAACTAAACTTATTATTATTAAAAGCTTATTATTACTTCACAAAATTAAGATTTATTTCTCACGTAATACAATAGTTGTATAAAGGTTTTCTAATTTTTCTGTTATTTTTTATTTGCATCCAAAACGAGTTTGAGCGTTGAGAGACAAAAAGGTATTTTAGTGCACCTTTTCGCTCTTGATGTCTGTCTGTCTGTCTGAGGCACAAAGGCCGCGGAACTACATCACTTACAGACTTGGTATTTGCGTCATTCGATCAGAAATTAAAAATTATTTCATGTTTGTATTCTCATTGAAGCATGAAATGTCCATAAGGGCTATTGAACGAAAAAAACAATATTGACTAAGGCTCCATTCTATGTCTTGAGTGTTAAATCTAAACGAATACAAGAATCGAGACTCAACAATTTTTATTTTTTCTATAGGCTATCGATTTCGACTTAAACAGCCATCATCAGCCGAGCGTCAGTTGTGTCTGACAGACAGGCGGTTCTGAACCACGTACGTAGACACTGTGCAATTCAGATGAATAGTTTTTTTCGGGCGTTCCGTTTCGAGCAACGAAAAAGATAGCGACAGTAATAATAATAATTATTATTATTATTATAATCTAGAATATGGCCTGTAGATTCCATAATTTCAAACAGTTCCAAGATTGGGCTACTGGATCAAAAGTTACAGCACTTTGAATTTTCTTTCGAAATTGGTTTTTAGTCCATAACTTTTGATTGAGAAGTCTAATCGAAAAAGTACGAATCCTTTTGGATTCGACGCACCAAAATTAATAAGAAAAAGTGTTTTCCCGAGAAATTTTGGTGTAGTCGATTTTTTGTCAAAAAGGAAGGTTATACACTGCCTTTTTTTGAGGCCCCAAAAAAAAATTGTCTCAGATCGACCGGAAAAAAACATTTTCTCATAGAATATGGCCTGTAGATTCCATAATTTCAAACAGTTCCAAGATTGGGCTACTGGATCAAAAGTTACAGCCCTTTGAATTTTCTTTCGGAATGGTTAAAACTTTTGATTGAAAAGTCTAATCGAAAAAGTGCGATTCGATTTGGATTCTACGCACCAAAATTAATAAGAAAAATTGTTTTGCCGAGAAATTTTGGTGTAGTCGATTTTTGTTAAAAAAGGAAGGTTATACACTGCCTTTTTTTAAGAGCCCAAAAAAAAATTGTCTCACATCGACCGGAAAAAAAACATTTTCTCATAGAATGTGGCCTGTAGAATCCATAATTTCAAACCGTTCCAAGATTGGGCTACTAGATCAAAAGTTACAGCCCTGGTCCATTATTATTTTTTAGAAACTGTGTATAGAACTGTATATGTTTATTAGGTTCGATATTAAGTTCAGGTTAGTTCAGATATAGTGGCCACGAAAATTAAACTATTTAATTTGAATTGATAGAGAAAATCTGTAAACTGAAATTCTTTTGAATTTCCATCAACAAACTTTATAGCCACTTTGTATTTAATTTTGCAATTAATTTTCAGAAAATCAAAGTTTGAAGTCAATTTTCAGAGAAATCAGGACAGGAAAAATTTTCGAGTAAGTTACAGCAAAAAAACATTGTGTTGGAAGCGTGCCGGGGATACTTTTCCTTAAAAATCCCTTCTGCATCTATTTCATTGCCGAATAAGAACATTCTTGACAAACGGTTATTGAATTACAGACAGTAACAACTGCAACAGGCTCTTCAATTAAAAGGAGTACAACCTCCCTTCTTGAAACAAAATTTTGATTTTTTTTAATTAACTCGAGAATTTTTTAGCAAAAAATTATTACTTGACCGACCGACGGCTAGCTTTATGTGGCATTTATCCCTTTTTCTAGTGTCCTGAAATTTGACTTTAATAAGTATTGGGTTTTTCTATGGATTTTCTCGCAAATTCAAACATGTACAGAGAATAAATAGTACCCTATCTACCACGGCCCTGGCAGATGTCAATGTTGGAACAGATATGATCCTCCTTCAGTGGCAATGAATTAGGAAAAGTAGGTGACGAATCTGCCTGGCGGTAACACGAAACTTCTTTGTACTTTCGAATGACACACAATTTCTTGGAACGCTGACTTTTGTGGTGTATCGTTGTATTTTAAAAGTTACGAGCAAACCACGATTTTATTAATACGCTTTCTGTATTGATCAGGTCGTAAAAGTTAGGGCTGTAGACGAGATTTTTTGGCATATGTCACAGTAGTTATGGAAGTATCAGTGTTTCAATAATAAAAAAAATTGCAGACGAGATGTTGCTTCATTTATTTCATGTAATGCAGAGGTTGACGGGAAACATCTCTACCAATTTACTTACGCGTTGGTGAAATAGAAAACTGCCACTCAAACAAAGGTAAAGGTGTGGCAAAACCGACACGCCACTTGAGCGTGTAGCTGCACGTACAAACTGGTAGCAAAATTGAAATTCATTACGCCCCTTACGAAAGCAAAACTTTTGCGCGCCTTCCCTAATTTTAACGTTTTATTCAAACAAAACTTTTTTTGATATTTCAAGCAAGTGAAACATTAATCTTTATTTTCCAAGGTAATTAGCAATTCGTATTAGAGGGAAATGTCATCTACCCCCCCGAAAAGTTTTAATTGTATAATTTAATTTGCGAATGAAAATACAGCTGTTGTAGTAACAACCTCGCTTGTTTTAATTAGGCGAGCGATAGTAATGCCGGGTACTACGAGGGACTTTTGTTTTTCTTCTTGGCCGAAAGTAGCGTGGGGAAATTCGCTTCATTTCCCAGCGTCCGTTTGAAACAAAGCTTGAGGACTGATGTCCACGTTTCGCACGTTGGCGGTTTTGACGCAATTACTACAACTCGTGTTTTAGCTGCAATGATGCGTCGTTTTCCCTTACAAGCGATCAAATAAATTAGTTTTCCTTAAAATATTATCCAGTGGCCTTACACAACAAGCATGCATTTCGGTCTTAAGTTTTCTCAGAACTAACCCTTTAATTTTGCAGATATCTAACGCGGTTTTTTGCATTTGTTGATACCTTTTCATCCGTTTTCTAGGTCAATTACGAAATGACTTTGTAAAAGGGGGTTTTCGTATAAATACAGTAACTTAAAATTAATGTTATTAATATACATTCATTATCCTGAAGTCGTCTTTATCCTTAATACCTTTATTTGTAGAAAGGGGTCCTAGAATATTGAGTGTTTATTTTGCCAAGAAAGATCTCATTTGCCATTCATATTAGAAATTTGTTGGTACATCCCGAAGCAATTTAATAAACGGCGAATTAATTATTTTGAAGGAATAAATAAACAACTGAAACTTTTATTTCGTGCTAATTAAAAATCACCAGTGCCTTTGAGTCAAGTTCGATAGGTATGAAGTGCGTTTTTCTTTTTCAACAAAATTAAATTCTTATTTCTATATTGAGCATCAGCTTCATCCTTCATATAAATATAGTTCGGCAGTCGAGTCGAGTAAACTTTTAATCTCGTGGGACTAAATACGAAATGGGAACTCTTTCCTGGAGAAATAAAAACCCATAAATGATTCAGGCCACGTATTTCGTTATCGCGAGTATCTAAATCTTTTCGACGTCGTTAATATAACGGTTAGTGGCAATTTTATGAATAAGGACGAAGCCATCCCTTAATGGCCTCTCTCCGGTATTTTAATATAATGCGCAATTAAAAATAATCAGATTAACGGTATAAAGTTTGTGCATCTTGGGGAGCCGACTTTTCTAATTTATTCCTCCCGCACAAAAAAAGGGGTTCCTCCTGTGTTCCTTTTTAATATAATATTTCGTGTAGAAAAATTAAGCAAGTGGAAATTTATTTGCCTTCGTTGATGAATAAAAAGTAATTTAATTAAGGTGGAAGAGTGTTTTGAATCAGTAATGTACAAAACTAATTACGCACTTTCGTTGCAGGTGTCCTTTTTCTCTACAAGTCCCGAACTTAGCAATAAGCAGCGATTTGAATATTTCACGCGGACTATCCCGTCGGATCACTATCAAGTAAAAGCAATGGTCGATATTGTTCGGCTAATGGGTTGGAGCTACATATCAATTATTTACGAGGAATCCAACTACGGAATTAAGGTAGAATTTTTGTTTTCAGGAAGTTTTCAAGCCGTACGAATTACATGGAACTCTTGCTTTTAATATACGTAAGCCACTCTAACTCCCAATTTTTGTGTCTATAGAGCTTTGTTGTAGTGGAGCTTAAGTTCAATGTAAATGTTGATACAATTTAATCCACGAGAACAAGACATTAACAACAAAAGCGAATTTTACGTTGCTATAAGCCAGATTAATTTTGCTCTGCGATTGTTGGGGCATTAAAGTAGTCGAGGTCTATTGTAACCGACTCTGGAAATGCGGGAAATGCAAAATACCCCTAATTCGCAAACCAGTATGACATTTGTTTCTTAAACATGCAATTTTGTGTTTAATAATATTATGTATTGAATCTCGTGATCCATTTTTTGTTTATTTTAATCCATTCTAATTATGAGTATCTTGAGAAAGAACATGGTTATTATGGGAATTAAATACGAATTTATTCTTGGTCTCGGTATCACTCTTCTTCTGATTAATTGACATTTCTTTAACAATTTACGCACCTTTCAATGTTTTTTTCAATGTTAAAGCCTACGTTTAAAATACGTTTTTTATTTGTATATATAAACCATAGAGTTCATGTTCTACGTTGATAATATTTATAAACATAAACGTTCTTTTAGCAATAATTTGATAAACGTGTATAACACCACTTTGATTTACCATGCTAGAATATTAGTTTATTTAGTTCCTCCAAAATTCGAATAAAAATTAGGGATATTCTACGTAACAAAATTACGTATTGTTTATATCATCATCTAACGAAACTGGCATAAGAAACGTTGAGAACAACTAGATAAATAAACGTTTTTTAGTATTAACCTGACAAAAATCTCAGATACCTAAAATCGATAGAGATGTACAATAAAATATAGAAAAGTACTTACCATGGTGGGTGTGAATGGCGAAAAGACCAAGGTAGTCGAACCCAAACCTGAAAAAAGGCACGTTCTTAATTTACCATAAACTGGAATATTGGTTTGCCTACTTGCGCTACAAATACGAATATAAATGACACGAATTCTACTTGTTAAAACTATATACAGTGCTATATAATAAGAAGTAAACATAGAGATTTATGTGTATTGTTTTTCCCTATGTCCACTTTTAAATGACAAAATTTCTTCTGAAATTTTATGCATCACACATAACTTTTTAAGACGTTTAAATCGTAATTTGGGATTTGAATATTTATGTGTTACGCTATCCCATTGTGGAAAGATTTTGCCATTTGTTTGAATAAACCAGTATTTATTTTGGTACCTAAATTGATTTGTACTGTTTTTACTACCATCGGGGTAAGATAAATTACAAATTGAGTGGCGCTCAACCATTGGTAAGTGTAACGAAGGACGAAGATAAAATGTCCAGAATGAACTACCGCTGTAATAGATCTCAAGCTTGTATTTTCTTGTTTAACCCTGATAATTGGCCGTTTATTCGGCGGGTTTGAGAAAACGCAGCGCCAACCGTTAAAATATCTTTTTTTATGAGTGTTTAAGTGCTTTTAAAATCTTGCAAGGGTTTATTAAATAATTTCGAAAAGCTGTACGAATCTCTAGGTGTCTTAAAGAGTGAGTCCTTTCAGGGTTTTTAAAACTCTTTATATTCTGGAGAAGCCACGTGTAGTTATAAAAGCTCTCAACTCCAGGGCCATATCAAATGAATTACATTCATAAAGGCATTATGCGAAAATATAACACGCACTCTAACGAATCAAAACAGAACATGCCCTGTAATGATAAAATGATGCCAAATATAAGCTAGCGACGTGGAGTGTATTATATATAATGTAAAAGATAACCTCAAATTACTTAGACTGCTTCGGGGCATTTTCGGGAGTAACATACTCTCTCTACATTTCATCAGTACAATCACAAACAAGAATTAAAAAAAACACGATACAAGCTCGAAATTGAAATGTCGCATTTCTTAATTAAAAATTTTAAAAAAACCAATCAGAATTTATTGGGATGTAACCTGCGCTATACCCATAAGAAGAGAGATTTCATTAAAATTATGAGAATTGTACTTATCGCCTCCGGTATTTTTATTTCCGGATTTAATTTAAACGCTTTCAGTTGCGGATTTCAATAGTACATTGCAACGGAAAAACGAGTCGACAGGGATATTTATATTAAAAGAAACTTAAATTCGGTATTTATTCGGTCTGGTATAATTAACAATTTGTTTTGCTGCTGCTTCTACATCCCCAGAGGATGTACCGTCAAACTTTGTGAAGTTTCTCCTCTGATAACATCAACAGAAATTATTTAGTTGTATCAAGTTGCGCTAAATTTCGCCCTACTTTTTCTGCATGTTCCATAAGTGCCGAGCTGAGATGCGAGACTAACACGCAACAGCTTTTCCTCATTTCTTTGTTGTGTAACATGATAATTATCCCGCAACATTCTCCAAGGCTTCAGACGTAACATTTCGTGCCATCATTCACCTGATGGTTATTTACTTTCAGAACATCCCTTCAGATGCGTATGAGCTCCAGCCTTAGTGATCTTAGGTCTTTAACAAATCCTAGGAACAGTAGGAAGTATATCGACGATCGCAAAGGATATTCGTCTAGTTAAATATTTCACTTGATAATTTTATTAGCAAACGAACTAAAATGGTTTATGGGAAATTACGAATAATGATGGAAATATGAATTATTTGGCGATCAGACGAAAAGACAATTTTACGAACAATAATTTGAGAAGGCGATAAAGTTCATCAGAATTTTGTTGTACTAGTTAATATGAAATTCTTTTTGAAGAGCATTTCCAGCTGAAAACAATTACTAAAAATTCCTCCTTTTTGTTCTTTCTCTGAAATGTGGCTTCAAAATTGATCTTTTTGTTCCTCGCTTGCTCGTAAGCAATGAAGTAAAAAATTACGGTAAAGTTTGTAGATATATTGACCACAAAAAGCAAAAAATGGAATGTTTCCAATATACACACAAGGTAAAGTAATGGCAAGAGGGACACCCTGTATTTAGCACACCAAATCTGGTGGAATTTTCTTACAAATAGGCACATAATGGATAAATTTTATTTAATTTTATAGGTACATTACTTTTGCTGTAATTTTGTTCAATAATGTAGTCGGTTTTATTTTTTTGTGTAATTTAAGGCGTACAAATTAAGAAACATGAGTGTAAAAAGATTATGGCGTCTGTTTGAGAATAATTTAGCGTAAAGTAAACTTTAATTGATTTAGATAAACGATGGCACATGTGCAAAATTGAGGATAGGGAGGTGCGATGTAAATAAATGGACGCATTTCGGCGGCCCTTGCCGAAAGTGAAAAATTGTGATGCAGATGGTCTGCACATAAAAAGGGTGCGCGCCATGTAAAGAGGCGGTCTCGGTTCATTTGACAGCGTACGTAACAGTCCGTTGCGTGTAAACTCAAATACGCATTTCGGTAGTCAGCTTGCAAAGGCCTAGTATACTGCCACCGAAGTGTTTTTCCATGGAAACAGTTTAAAATCGTCGATAATTTCAACAAAACAGTGAATTGAATCTTTAACAATCCGACATACAACAATTTTTTTGCGTATTACGAATTTTGTAAAGGAATAGCTTCCATACATTTTCTTGTAGATATCATTCTTGTCATGCGCCCTCCCCCAATTATGTTTAAAATCTCCCTAGAAACCTCCTTGAAGAGCTTATTGGTAATTTGCTTATAAGAATTTTCCTACACGTTACTTTGCAGGTTGAAATCTGATTCTTTTTAGAAATACCCTCGCTGAATCACAGAAACCTTGGCATCTTTTCTGTTACATTTTTGCAAATATAGTGAATTTCTCAGAAGTACTTGTAAAAATATCTTTTTCGAAGTGTTTTTAAGAAACTCATTTGCAATATATTAGAAATTATTGTAGAACTCTTTTCAAAAATACTATCTCATTAGTCTTTACTAATGGTTTATTAAAATGTTACTAAATACCCGTAAAAAAATACCTTTCGGGAGTTATATAAATTTTTAAGATATTGCAAGAGGTACATATTCCTAGATATCGGGACTAGCCAAGACAGGAGTAGAAGTTAAACGTTTCTTAAGTTCATTAAAAGCAGATTCGGCTTCCTTGTTCCAAGATATAGGTTGTCCTTTTTTTCGATCTTTAAAAAGAGCAGAAATAGGAGCGGTTAACGTACAACAATCCTTAATAAAGCAACGATAAAAAGAAATTAACCCCCATGAGTCGTATTCTTAGGGTTAGAGAATTGCAAAACCGCACTAACAAGGTCGTCACTCGCGTGGAGTCCTTTTTGATCAATATCAAATCCCAGAAACTTAAGGGAGGGTTTTTTTAACACGGTATCATCTTGAATTAAAAGTGAAAGGTACAAGCGATTATCATGCGGTAGGCGAAAGACAAAATCAAATCTGTGGGTAAGGTGTAGAGTGACTGAGGGAGTAAAAATCTTTCACTTTGGCCAACCACTGTTACCAACCGGCTTGAGGGACTCTGTAAGTTAACTTGCGATGGTGGGCGACGACACGAGCTATAGAAAATCTGGGGTTTATGGTAAGGCTCTCGACAGAATAGGCATGGCCTATTTTACCACAATTCCAGCAAGTAAGTGCAGCTAATTGTAAGGAAAATTCAACCTTTACAGGCTTAGAAACAGCAGGCATTACAATGGGTTTTTTAGAGCAAGAAAAATGATATTCCTCTGCTTGTATCAGATATTGGTGAATCTAATGCATAAAAATTTTTCGCATGAAAATGTTTCCAGAGAGTTGAGAATCCTCTAAGTCGTCTGAAGTTGCGTTTATAAAGTAAAAATGGACGAATACACCATAGTTCCATGCTATACGTTTATCTAGAATGTACCTGGTTGCCTTGAAATTAGAAATTACCCACATTAAAGTGTAAAAATAAGTATGTAGTATCCCTACTCTAAAAGATTGACAAGACGCATTTTCCCCAGTTTGACAAGTACATTATCGTAACGGTATCTCTCACTTTATCAACTTTAATAAATATCAACATTTTTCAACTTTCTCTCCACTCTCAGTGATGACAGATGAATGACATTATTTTAACGGTGATCGCATTTTCTGCTCCGTCGTAAATCAGAATCTTTTATTGGCTCTCTGAGTACTCACGT